AGAGAGAGAGAGAGAGAGAGAGAGAGAGAGAGAGAGAGATCAAGAGAGATCAAGTCTTAGAAGTAACAACTTTGGCCCACTCCCCACAGACCAGAATACAGCCTGGAGGTCTAAGTGTCTACAGGGATTCCAGCATTAAGAGATCAAATCCTCAAAACTGTACCTAGCTAGCAGAGAGCATAAGAGGGCAGTTTCATGTCCCCGTCACGCTCCCTAGAAAGATGGGGCAAAACAAAATATTTTAACAGCAGTGGATGGATGAACAAAATGTATTATCTGTCAAAGGGATAATACCCCAAACAGAAGAAAGTCACCCAACTAAATAGCACCCAGTGGCCCTTCCCCCAAAGGTCCCCAGCAGCTTGCTGCTAGGAGGCGCTGGAAGCCAGAGTGAGCCTTGCAGTCACTCAAGGGTCCTCAGAGGAAATAGACTCACTTCCTCTTCCTTTTTAACTTCCAAGCCATGAAGCAAACACCCCACTGTCCTCATGTGTTGAATTGAAGGGACCAGCTCCCCATTTTGGCAGCCGTAACAGCCGAACACATGCTTGTCTGACCTTGTCTTGGTCACTAAGGTCAGATGCCTGCTCCTTTCGGCAGCCATAACAGCTGAACATGTGCTTGTGTGACCTTGCCTTAGTCACTAGGAGGTCAGATGCCTGCCTCGTGGCAAGGAACCAATCAGAAGTTAGCTGGTGGAGCTATGCTTTAGGGCTCTGGGTGTGCTTTATGGACAAGTTCACAGCAATGACGTGCAGAGCATAGCAACCACCCTGGGAGGGCCTATGGGCCATAACAACCAGTTGACCAATCAACACAGGGTAAGCCCTCCAAGCCTGGAGGCACACCAATCCTGAGCCTGTGTGTATCCCTAGACACTCCCCTTACGCTGCCCTATAAGATCTCTATGCAGATGCTTTGAGCTGTCTTTCTAGCCATCTGCCATGGTGGATGCATGAAAGACCCGCTCTAACATGGGGTTAAACAACTATAATAAAGCCTCGTGCAGTTTGCATCAAGCTTTCGACTCCACCTGGTGATTGGGGTGACCGAGGTCCTGGGCTGAGATCCTGGAGGCCTGAGTTTTCCAGGGGTCTTACAGAATGAGGTCTTGGTCTCCAGCTGGTGGGGAGAGGGAAGCTTCCAGAGGTGGGGACTTGCTGGAGGGACTTCATCACTGGGACCGTTTCCCGAGGGCAAGAGTGTACCTGGACCCATCCTGCCACCTTCTCTCTGCTTTCTGGTTGCCCAAGAGAGCAGCTTTACTGAATTAACAGCCCTGATGCTATGGTGCTCTGCCTCATGTGAGCTGAGACCACTCTATAGCAGTGGTTCTCCACCTGTGGGTCGAGACCCCTTTGGGAGGGGTCACATGTCAGATATTCTGTCTATCAGATATTTACATTATGGTTCATAACAGTAGCAAAATCACAGTTATGAAGCAGAAATGAAATGTTATGGCTGGGGTCACCACAACACGAGGAGCTGTTGGGGGTCACTGTGTTAGGAAGGGTGAGAACCACCGCTCTACGGGGAGGCTCTCCCTAAGTTGTCCTCTGAGGTATGGGTCACTGAGGAAAAAGCGACCCATATGTACCAGGACGGGCTACATCATCAGCTCAGGTCCTACAGCAACAGACCCAGTCAATCATGGGCTGGAGCCTCCAACGTGGTGAGCCAGAGCAGACCACGTCTCCTTCCACGCTGATCACCTCACATTATCTGTTACACAAACAGCAGAAGGCTGACAAACACAGAGGGACCCATTCCTAGTTGAGGAGCTACTGACTGCGAGGGAGGGAGAGTCAGTTTTCCTTAGGTACACCGACTGCTCCAGTGCAATGCCTCACACCATGTACAAATGGTCAGCACTAATCGGACTCAGCAGGGCACTTCCTTCAGCCACGTCTTCTTCACAATGCCTACACCACCTTCTGATGGAGGCTTGTGGTGGCTTGAATAAAAATGGCCCCTTAGGCTCACAGGGAGTGGCACAATTAGGAGGTGTGGTCTTGTTAGGAGTAGGTGTGGCCTTCTTGGGGGAAGTGTATCATTGGGGGTGGGTTTTGAGGTCCTGAGTGCTCAAGCCAGGCCCAGTGTCTCACTCTCTTCCTGCTGCCTGCAGTCCAGATGTAGAACTCTCAGCTACCTGTCCAGCACCATGCCTGCCTGCCTGCCTGCCTGCCTGCCACCACACTTCCTGCCATGATGACAATGGACTAAGCCAGGCCCCAATTAAATGCTTTCCTTTGTAGGAGTTGCCTCAGCACCGTCTCCTCACAGCAATAGAGTGCTGACTAAGACAAGGCCTGAAGCATCTCCCTGGCTGCTGGGAGGTGAACAACTTTGTCCCACCATATACTCTCATCAGCAAGATGCTCTGCCTTGACACAGGCCCATAGGAACAGGGCAATCAGACCAGACACCGAGATGCCCAAAACCATGAGTCAAAATATATCTTAGGAATCTAAGCCTTCAGTTAACAACCTACATCAGTATCAGTGGCCTTGTCTCTTCAGTCTATAAGGCTAAACACTCTATAGCTTCCTTGTTCCCATGGTGAGGCCAACTCTTGATTTGACTCCTGGTTTTATCCTCAAGTCCTCCCAGAAAGCCATTTCACCTTGGTTTCACTGTGCTGTGGGGGTGGGGGGTGACTTCCTAGATCACCTTTCCTGAGCCTGTCCCCTTTTCAGGGGCTGCAAAGAGCAGTCATTACAGTGACATTGCTTGCTCACTGTTAAGAGACATGAAATGTCACCTTAAATGGCTTAAAGTGTGTGATGCCTGCTGTTATGGTTTGGGTGTGGTTGGTCCCTCAGTGATGCCTGCGGTGGAAGGCTAGTCCCCTCATGATGCTAAGCAATGGTGAGACTTAAAAGGAAGCCACCACCATGATGCTTATGGATGCTCTTATGGGGGCCCTGTGTTAGTTCTCAAGATGTTGATTAGCAAAGAATACGACCGGCCAATCCCTGATGAGTCCAAATTCCTGTCTTACAATGTGACTACTCCTACTTGCAAGCACTTTGGCTGCTGGGATGCCACCTGCCCTGAGAGTGTACCCAAACCCACACTGATAGTTGTGCTGGCTAGTTTTTTATTGTCAACTTGACGAACTAGAGTTACCCCAGGAAGAGGAAACCTCAATTGAGGAGTGGACCAGATGACACTGGCCAGTGGCCTTCTCTGTGGGGGATCTGTCTTGACCGGAAGTCCCAGCCCACTGTGGGTGGCACCATCCACAGGCAGCTGGGTCTGGACTGTGTCAGTGAGTGAGTAAGGAGGTTTCCGCTTCCGGGTGCCTACCCAGATTCCCTCCGCGGTGGAGTGTGACCTGCAATAGTCAGAGGAAATAAACCCTGTCCTACCTAAGTTGCTTTTGGTCATGGTGGGTTTTTTTTTGTTGTTTTTTTTTGTTTTTGGTCACAGTAACAGAAAGCAGACTAGACTTGTGTACTCAGGCGGATCCCGCCTGAATTTCTTTCTTTCATGAGGAAACTGACCGGCCGTGCATGCTTTCCTGGCACAGTGACACCACACACAACCTCCTGCCCAAACATTTTCTTTCCTAAGAGCTCAAAGTCCTGAGGCTGCCACCTTCCACACCAGTGCCACCAGAGGTTAACATGGCTAGGTAACCAGAAACTTTGCCCTCTGCCGGCTGCAGGGTGGCAGATTATAAAGTTAGGCCTCAACAGTAAGGAGGGGAATGTAAGGCCAGGCTGGCCAAACTCTGAAGGAAGAAACGGCCCGTAAACAGGAAATGGGGCCTCATCAGTAAGCCCACGTCAAGGGAAGGGCCAGAGAACTACTTAAGGAACCTACAAGTAAACTTAGCCCGAGGAGTAAACCACAAAGCCCGAGGAGTAAAGGTCGGGTCGACGTCGTCTGGAGCCTACACCGCCCTCCCGGAGTGGTCTGCGAGTTTCCCCCCTTCTCTAGCCGGTGCAAGAGCCCTGATGCAAGGGTCCCCCAACAAGCACGAGTGGTTCGAGCACACTCTGCCCCGGTCAGAGACCCGAGCACCCTAACTCCCTCCTCTGCGCGCAAGCCAGCCAGGACCGCCCAAGATTCCCATTGCACAGACCAGGCGCCCAAGCGGCCCGGCCGGTCTGACAAGTTAGTTTCCCCTGAGGCCAAACCACCCTATCCAGGGCCCTACGTCCCTTCTCCTTCCCGTCACATCCGAACGGCACCGGATGTCGCTAGACCCCCAGCTGGGAGGCCGAGGGAGGGGCGAGCCTAGCAAAGCCTGCGAGCAGCCAAGTTGTGCGAGCCTGCCGGAGGGAGGGAGGGGGGAGGGGGAGCCGGGGCGGGGACGGGGGCAGGAGGAAGCACTGGGAAGGGGGGC